CACTAATTTCTTGCTTGATCTTCGGAGAAATGGCTTGTTTATTGAACGTTTGATAGCTTCAAACCGAAGTGTAAAAAATAAACTGTATTATAAACTCTACTACTGGCTGAGATGCTACCATAGAAACGTTCAACTTCATTGCTGATTGGCTGCTAAACCACCCTCACAGACTCCCCACTTCTTTTGTCTCCGACACTATCCAAGGGGCAGTCTATTACATCACTGGTTGGCTAAGGCCCACCCCACACAAAAACTGATGCTCCTATTGGCTTAGACATAGCCTGAAGCAGGCTTCCACTTCAGTGGTTGGATGAGGCTCACCTACATGCACAGATCATAAATGTAATAATAATAATAATAATAATCTTTATTTCTACAAGTACGATCATGATACAACTATTACAGACCTAGGTGACATCATTGGCACACTATTGTGTATAGAAGGCCCCTGGTTATGCAGAGCATTTCGGACATCTTAGAGAAGCCTTGTTCCCCAGGATGCGACCTACAACAGTCATACCATCGTATGCATATCATGTCTCAAATTTTTCATCGCGACTCTAAGCTAAATTCCTCTATGAGGGTAAATCGTAACTCGAAATTATCGTAGCTCACTCCCAATATAACTCTAGGAATCACGGTACTGTATGTCATTTGTAGTAATTTTACCTTTCCTGATAGAAAGACTAGGTGTAAACTTTTGTGATTGATAGTGGTGACTCAGAATAACTTTTATTGAATCATAAGAGTTGTAAATTTCCAGTAGCATCTACACTAAACTTGGGGAATATAGTCCTTACTTATCCCTGCTGCTGGGAGGCCAGACTTTATTTTCGTTATCTGGAGTTTACCTGGAGAGAGTTTCGGGGGTCAACGCCCCCGCGGCCCGGTCTGTGACCAGGCCTCCTGGTGGATCAGCGCCTGATCAACCAGGCTGTTGCTGCTGGCTGCACGCAAACCAACGTACGAGCCACAGCCCGGCTGAGCAGGAACTGACTTTAGGTGCTTGTCCAGTGCCAGCTTGAAGACTGCCAGGGGTCTGTTGGTAATCCCCCTTATGTGTGCTGGGAGGCAGTTGAACAGTCTCGGGCCCCTGACACTTATTGTATGGTCTCTTAACGTGCTAGTGACACCCCTGCTTTTCATTGGGGGATGGTGCATCGTCTGCCAAGTCTTTTGCTTTCGTAGTGAGTGATTTTCGTGTGCAAGTTCGGTACTAGTCCCTCTAGGATTTTCCAGGTGTATATAATCATGTATCTCTCCCTCCTGCGTTCCAGGGAATACAGGTTTAGAAACCTCAAGCGCTCCCAGTAATTGAGGTGTTTTATCTCCGTTATGCGCGCCGTGAAAGTTCTCTGTACATTTTCTAGGTCGGCAATTTCACCTGCCTTGAAAGGTGCTGTTAGAGTGCAGCAATATTCCAGCCTAGATAGAACAAGTGACCTGAAGAGTGTCATCATGGGCTTGGCCTCCCTAGTTTTGAAGGTTCTCATTATCCATCCTGTCATTTTTCTAGCAGATGCGATTGATACAATGTTATGGTCCTTGAAGGTGAGATCCTCCGACATAATCACTCCCAGGTCTTTGACGTTGGTGTTTCGCTCTATTTTGTGGCCAGAATTTGTTTTGTACTCTGATGAAGATTTAATTTCCTCATGTTTACCATATCTGAGTAATTGAAATTTCTCATCGTTGAACTTCATATTGTTCAAGTTTCTGCTGAACACTGAGAACCACACAGTTCTTGGCACCACCACTTGCTTAGAAGCCATTATTAAAATGTACTTTACATAATATGTTAATAAAGTCACACAAAACAAAATCCAGAGAAAATTGAAGACAAAATGACGAGTGTACATGTGAGCACAAACCATAAACTGGCGTGGTAGGCCTAAGGCTCAGGGAACAATGAAAATAGACTGGTCCTGGGTATGGCCACGCTGGCTTGTACCAGATAAACATGTCACTGGACTTGGTCCAATGACTTAGAAGACAACTGGACACTTTTGGTACGGACAAAATCCAGAATTCCTGATTTGTTTCCATTTCGTCTGATACTTCTAATGTTTTCCGGCCAATTCTTTTGTCTGAAATTGCCGAACTTGATTAATAAGTTTTACTGTACTGGTGTTGCATGTTAAAGGGATTGAAGAAGACTGAGTAAAGAGTAAAAAAAAAACAAGAAAATATTATTTTAATTTAACTCATTGAGCGTGCCAAACCCTCGGTCATTATTATTTGAAAATAAGCGCTAAACACATGTGGGTCATACAGCTCCTGGGGAATGAGAGGTAATCAGGTTTCATCCGTTATGAACTCCCTTGAAGGTGAGAAAAAAGTAGTAACAAGCAGCAGTGTGACTAGTGCAGTACAGTCTGTAGTTCTATTATTATACTGAACTTACTGTGTGATGCTAACAATCATGCAGGATATTATACTTAATGTACAGTACTCTCTTATAGTAATCATGCTAGATATTTTTTAAATATATTTAACACATTCACTTCTATTATAAATTTAACTTTTAATTTATAACTATTTGACAGTTTGTGTTATCTTAGTGCAGTAAGCATAGTGCAATCATGACTGGCTGGTGCATTATGTTCTAGATGTCTTGTAGTCGTGACTTAGTAGTTTATAGTACATATACGTAACAATGGTCTGACAAAGATGGCTTTTTCCTAGATCAAGAATGGTGACTTTCTTGTAGCTTGAGAATAATGACTTCCTCTCCATCAGGTAGTGAAGACTTTCACCAAGCCTGAAACTAATCATATTTGTTGATGTTCCTTGAACAAGAATTTATTAGTTAAACTTAACTACGTCTGCTACAGTTTACATTATTGGACATATTAACATCAGCAACTTTAGTGATGGATTCATTCTGGATCGCTGCCCCTTCCACTTGCTCTCAGATGAGGCCTTTTAAATTAGAAAGGAAGTACAAAGAACTATTAAGAAATTTAAGTGTATACTGAATATAGAAGTTTGTAAGGTTTACCTGCTATCTTGCATGTTTGAGAAGGAAAACACTTGCAAGTTGATAGAATACAAAACTTTTGACAGGAGAGTTTAACATGCCTGCTACCCTACAAATATTACATGGAATATCTAAATTAATAAAGGGAGTTGTGTAAAGCAGTTTGTAGCAACAGTGGAGTCTGACAATCCAGTGAGCCTAGAACGAGTTCTCAATAACAATAAATTAAACAAGTGATGCAAGAGTATTGTTCATTCACAGTAGATTAAAATTCCATTTTATTTATATTTGAAATCTGCTTAGAATATTGTCCAAATACCTGAAACCATTAAAAGTAGGATAGCAGAGAACACCAGATACAAAGAATAATGTTAAGAGAATATTCTATAATAGACTATCTCAAAAAAAAAAAAATATCCTAGTGGGAACAAATCGGTGGCGTATAAGAAGAAATGTACAATAAACATTTAAAAGCTACAGTATTTTATTAGAAGTACCGATTACCTGATAGTCTACGCAAATTATAGTAACAAAATAGCTTTAAAAACTGGTAGCATCTTATGGAAAATTTTCTAGGGTGTTTATCTGTATGTACCTCAACATTATGTACATACAAGTAATCTCATTGGGAGACAACCATATTGTTTACCGTAGTCACCCCGTGTAGACATGTGAGAAAACTTAACCACCCCTGGTCGCACCAAGTGGTCCCCTCGACCTCACAATCTTATCCATATCTATCCGAGACCAGTATGGATTGGGTAGCACCCACAAGTACGGTGCTACTAATTAATTGTGGACTGTATAGATTATATTAGTTTAGCTGAATGAAGGGGAGGGGGTAGGATACACCTGGATACATCCATCAAGGAAAACATTTATACATAATCCCACCACTTACCAGATGTTCTCTGGTGGTCACTTGATGTAGTTGGATCACTCATAACCTATCTAATTACAACATAACACCACTGGCCAGCATAGGTTTGTTATAACTAGAAGGTTACTTAACTGTGGGTGATTGATACTCCTTATTTCTTCCATTCACCATCTCAGTTTCGATGTCCTGCTACACCGACACGGTTCTCATTCCGGCAGGACGAGGTATCCGTCGGTTTTCCCGGTTAGAAGTCGTGATTCCATAAATCTCCATTAACCCCGGTACGAGAGTCACACGTTCACTCGGAGCAAGGCGCTCTATTTCACATCCCGCATTCTCTTAACTCAATGTTATTATCACTGATTACATTACCATTCACAAGACGATTTAACGTCTCATAACTATTATACAAATTAGAGGTCACTCCATTAAGATCTGAGGCCGATGAGCAAGGATTAACACACGGTATGTCCCCTGGACACACCCGGGCAGTGCACCTGCCACCCGTCTACTCTTATCACACTTTTTACCACTCTATTACCATGGTCCCGTAAATCACGTTCCCTCACTCTCCACCAGGAACAGTTACGACGCTTCTTATTATGAAATGAGGCCTATATTAATCCTTAGGCCGCCGTGAATGTCAATTTCGTGGTTCCATGCTTTCTCAGCTTCTTCACCACATTCAAAACAATCCCCGCCTCTCCCCCCCGCACATCCGCGCATGTGCAAAGGGAACTCTTGGTTCTACTCTTATTTTCAAATACATTTTTGACCCATATAGACACATTAAACACCTATTAGGCACTATAGTTTCGGAAAATTAAAAAATTTTCCACACATCTGATACAATGAAAAAATAAATTTCTCCTGGTACAGTACTGTTCCAAAATGAGCACCAATATGTTGTAATCATCAGAATTATATTTAAAAAACTTAACATTATATGTGCAGTATATATAAATTTTCCTTTTGACGAACATTATGTATCTTAAGAGTATCCATACCAGTATTTAAGTCAATTGTAATACTGTACTAGTTTCCGCTGTATAGCCCTTGTGGCTTAGCGCTTCTTTTTGATTATAATAATAATAATGTACTAGTTTCTCTTTCATCTGATGTTTGGGCGTCTGGCAACAGGGTCCCCCGCAGCGTCCGGTTCCCCTAAGACACGTCTCGCTCAGCCTCGCCTCCAGCAGCACCAGCAGCACACACTTCGCCCTGCACGCCAACCCAGGTATTCTCTCTCTCAGGGTGTTCCTCGAGTCTCGACTATTAAGGAGAGGAGCTAATTGTTAAAATATCCTTATCTGATGTGGGTATGGCATGCATGTTAATATTATATTAATGGATATAATGTACAGAGCACTAGCATAATGATTAAAGCATTTTGTCACAATGACCGTCTCTCACCAAGACAGGATGCTCTAAGAAGAACCCCTCAAGGAAGGTTCCTTGATGTTGGTGAGGGGCTCTTGATTTAGGGAATTGGATCTGTGCTCCAGTTTCCCGAATTAAGCCTGAATGCCTTCCACATCCCCCCCCCAGGCCCCAGGCGCTGTATAATCCTCCGGGTTCAGCGCTTCCCCCTTGATTATAATAATCATGCTGCTCTTACCTGTATTTTTTTGTATGACCCTCCTGTCCTCCAGTGTCGTCAGTCCGATTTCCCTCAACCTTTCCTCGTACGACATACCCCTGAGCTCTGGGACTAGCCTTCTTGCAAACCTTTGTACTTTCTCTAACTTCTTGACGTGCTTGACCAGTACTCACCTAGTTGTACTCACCTAGTTGAGGTTGCAGGGGTCGAGTCCAAGCTCCTGGCCCCGCCTCTTCACTGATCGCCATTAGGTCACTCCCTGAACCGTGAGCTTTATCATACCTCTGCTTAAAGCTATGTATGGGTCCTGCCTCCACTACATCGCTTCCCAAACTATTCCACTTACTGACTACTCTGTGGCTGAAGAAATACTTCCCAACATCCCTGTGATTCATCTGTGTCTTCAACTAACAACTGTGTCCCCTTGTTGCTGTGTCCCATCTCTGGAACATCCTGTCTTTGTCCACCTTGTCAATTCCTCTCAGTATTTTGTATGGGTCATTATGCATGTCCCCCCCCTATCTCTCCTGTCCTCCAGTGTTGTCAGGTTGATTTCCCTTAACCTCTCTTGGAGACATACTTTTTAGCTCTGGGACTAGTCTTGCTGCAAACCTTGTCACAATCTCTATTTCTTTACGTGCTTGGCTAGGTGTGGTTCCCAAACTGGTGCCGCATCCTCCAATAAGGGCCGTAACGTACAAACGGTGTAACAGGTCCTGAACGTTTCCTTATTAAGAGTCGAATGCTGTTCTGAGGTTAGCTAGGCGCCCATATGCTGCAGCAGTTATTTGGTTGATGTGCGCTTCAGGAGATGTGCCTGGTGTTATACTCACCCCAAGATCTTTTTCCTTGAGTGATGTTTGTAGTCTCTGGCCCCCTAGACTGTACTCAGTCTGAGGATCCTCTTTGCCCTTAGCCCCAATCCTTCATGGACTGTTGCCACCTTGTGGGGTTTGAACTCCAGGAGCCATTTGCTGGACCAGGTCTGCGCCCACCATCTTCACTATTCCACCAACCACCATCTCTACTACACCCACCATTATCACTACTCCATCCATTATCACTACTCCATCCACCATTATCACTACTACTACTCCATTCACCATTATCACTGCTCCACCCACTACCATCACTACTCCCACCCACCACCATCTCTACTACCTACATACCCACCACCCTCACATCTCCATACCGACCACCATGTCTTCTCCCCCCCATTATTCACTACTCATCCACCATCACTACTCCACCCACCACCATCACTATTTCCCACCCACCACCATCACTATTTCACCCACCACATCACTATATCCACCCACCAACCTGCTCAACTGTTTCCACCCACCACCATCACTACTTCCAACCACCACCATCACCGCTCCACCCACCACCAATTTCAGTAAAACCACCCACCACCACACTACTCCACCCACTGCCAACACTTATTCCACCCACCAACCATCACTATTCGCACCCACCCCCCGGGGGGGGGGGGGGGGGGGGGGGGGGGGACACCAATCACTATTCCACCCACCCACCACACTGCTCCACCCACCACTATCAGTAACACCACCCCCACACCATCACTATTCCACCGACCACCATAACTACCCCACACACCACTATTAGACTCCCACCCATCATTATCTCAACGCCATCCACCACGCATCCACTACTCCACCCAACCACCATCACTACTCCACCCACCACCATCACTCCTCCACCAACCACCATCACTACGACACCCACCACCCTCACTACTCTACTGATCCACCATGTCTCTCCACCCACCATTATCACTACTCCATCCACCACTAATCACCTACTCCACTGACCACCATGACTACCCCACACACCACTAATCTGTACTCATCCACCATTATCTCTTCTCCATCCACCACCATCCCTACTCCACCCACCACCATCACTAACTCCACCCACCAATACAGCACTCATCCTACCATCACTGCTCCAACCACCACCATAACTACCACCCACACACCACTATCGTACTCACCCATCATTATCTCTACTCCCATCCACCACCATCACTACCCATCCCCCACCATCACTACTCCATCCACCACCATCACTACTCCACCCACCACCATAACTAACCCCCACACACCACTATCAGTCTTCCATCCACCCATCATTATCTCTACTCCATCCACCATCACTACTCCCACCCACCACCATCACTACTCCACCACCACCATCATACCCTCACAACACTATCAGTACTTCCCCCATCATTATACCTCTACCCACCCCATCCACCACCATCTCTACTACAACCCACCACTATCTCTACTACACCCACCACCCTCACTACTCTACTGACCACCATAATCCTACTCCACCCACTATTATCACTACTCGTCCCACACCTCCATCACTACTCTATCCACCACCATACGACTCCACCCCACCACCATCACTACTCCACCCACTCACTATCAGCACTCCACCTCCACTATCAGCACTCCACCCACCACTTCAGCACTCCACCCCACCACTATCAGCACTCCACCCACCACCATCCATTACTCCACCACACCACTATCACTATGGCCGCCCGACCACGCATGACTAAACCCTACACACCACTATCTGTACTCCACCCACATTATCACTACTCCATCCACCCCCCACCATCACTATTCCACCCACCACTGTTACTACTACACCCACCACCATCACTACTCCACCTACCACCATCACTACTCCACCCACCTTAATGTTTCTGGAAAAACTCTGAATGTTGAAATAGAGGTTACCTATTCCCTGGATTTATTCGAGAACCATACCAGGGACGAGGTGCCTCACTACAATGTGAGATTAGTGTGGGAGTATTATTCTTCCAGTTATGTCTTGGAAGAGCATGTGGGATGGGATGAAGTACCTGACATTCCTCTGGGTACAGAATTGGATTTGACTTCAGATACGCAGCCAACTAGTGGCGGGGTATCTGAAGCACGCTTGTAACTTGGATTTTGGCTCACAACTCAAAGCAAATTATCGATCAAGTGATGGCTCATAACTCGGAAAACTCTTAAGTTGGGGCACTCGTAAGTCAAGGAGCCAGTGTTTTTTTTATTTTTATAACACATCAGCTGTTTTCCCACTGAGCAGGTGTAACCGGGTAAAAAAAAAAAACCACTTTGATCATCACTCATACATATCAGACTGCTGCAGAGTGCTCAGAATACGACATTTAGATTTCCCCTTCCAAACTGCCCAATATCCACAATAACCGAATATATTATATTAATATATTAATATTAATTTTATTAATGCAACCTCTCCTCACTTTAGCAACCGTACTAGTTAACAGTCCACTGTGGAGTTACAGCAACTCACCAACCCAGTATGCAAACCTAAATAATGAATAAAAGAGCTGATTTCCTATTTTCTGTTTATTACAGTATACGCACACTACAGGTATAAACAATTAAAAATGTACCAGAAGAAGTATAAATGGTGGTAAATGTAACTTAAAAAAATATCTAAAGATGGGAAACGACAACCCACTACCAGTATAATGTGCTCCTTGCTTAATGACCAAATTCGCCTACTGACCTGCTCTTAGGAACGGAATCTGTTTGTTAAGTGATGAGAAGCTGTATATACATGAGTTATGTAAGTTCATAAACACCTAGTAATAGTAGGGTAATCAGTATCTGGGTGGGTAGCTAACCTAAAATAGATTTTTTGGAATAAAGTCTTTTTTGATAGATACAGCTATTAGTACCACCACTGGTGAATATTGACTAATTTTAATGGTATTGGAATGGTATCAGTCCAAAATTGAGTATCAGCATAGGCACAAAATTTGGTAGTGTTCCATACTTAACCCGTAAACGGTCCCAAACATATTATATACGTATTTCAACTTTGAAAGTATGTAAAAAAGTAGATCTTCTATTTTTCTTTTTATACATTTGAAAACGTGTAAAAAAAACTTTGATCTACTTTTTTATTTTGATTATAAATGGCCCTCGACCAACGGTGGCATCGATTAATGAAAATCGACTACGAACATTTTAATGCAAAATTTTTCCCCCGACAAGCGCTAAAAAACTCGACCAACACTATTGTTTCGTAATGACGCGTCCACTACTGGCCAGTGTTACAAGCCAGCTAGCCACCGCGGCCCAGCTTCCAAGCATACAATCGAACATTCAATGTTTATCACAGCCTTTTCTAGTGATTGGCACCTGAAAATAAGTCACCATGGGGCCCCAAGAAACTCTAGTGCCAACCCTAAAGCAAAAAGGGTGAGATTACTATTGGATATGAAGAAAGAGATCATTGCTAAGTATGGAAAGGTGAGTGCTGTGTCACCGTATCTGGCCAGGTGTAACACAACAGCCCAAATCAACCATCGCTACTAATTGTGGCCAAGCAAACAGCAATCCCGGAAGCTTGTCATGCCCAAAGTGGTGCAACTATGTTTTCGAAACAGAGATTCGGCAAGTACTTCGCAGATGTTGAAAAGACTGTATATTGGTGAGGATACACAAAAGACATATAGCCAGGAGATAGCTCCTCATGCTAGCATAAGTTAAAAGTGCTAGGAATATTGCATGACGAATTAATGAAAAAAATGCCAGCAACTAGTGGTGATGGAGAGT